GCCTTATGAACGAAAAACATAACTAGGCTACATTTGTATCCAGTACCTATAGCTAGCTACATAAATATGGCGCAATTTCATTGCCAAGATAAATTGTATTTGAACTCCATAATTGTTTATTTGTATTAGGATATTGAATTTGAATGTAGCCTAATATTTTTTTTATTTGTAATGCACAAATTGAATCATTGAATTCATAAATTTAACTAGTTTTTCATGATTTGCATTCAATTTTAAAAGAATATTCAAATTCAATATTTATATATGGTAGATATTGCATTCGTTGTTTGTGTATCAAGTTTACAAACTATAATTTCAAGTTGATCAAAGTTTCATATACAGTACATTCGGAAAGTATTCAGACCCCTTGACTTTTTCCACATTTTGTTATGTTACAGCTGTATTCTAAAATAGATTAAATTGTTTTTTTTCCCCCTCATCAATCTACACACAATAGCCCATAATGACAAAGCAAATACAAAAACTAAACTATCACATTTACATAAGTATTCAGACCCTTTACTCAGTATTTTGTTGAAGCACCTTTGGCAGCGATTACAGTCTTGAGACTTCTTGGGTATGACGCTACAAGCTTGGCACACCTGTATTTGGGGAGTTTCTCCCATTCTTCTCTGCAGATTCCCTCAAGCTCTGTCAGGTTGGATTGGGAGCGTCGCTGCACAGCTATTTTCAGGTCTCTCCAGAGATGTTCGATCGGGTTTAAGTCCGGGCTCTAGCTGGGCCACACGAGGACATTCAGAGAATTGTCCCGAAGCCACTCCTGCATTGTCTTGGCTGTGTGCTTAGGGTCGTTGTTCTGTTGGAAGGTGAACCTTCACCCCAGTCTGAAGTCCTGAGCGCTCTGGAGCAGGTTTTCATCAAGGATCTCTCTGTACTTTGCTTCGTTCATCTTTCCCTCGATCCTGACTAGTCTCCCAGTCCCTACCGCTGAAAAAAATCCCCACAGCATGATGCTGCCACCACCATGCTTCACCGTAGAGATGGTGCCAGGTTTCCTCCAGACGTGATGCTTGGCATTCAGGCCAAATAGTTCAATCTTGGTTTCATCAGATCAGAGGATATGGTTTCTCATGGTCTGAGAGTCTTTAGGTGCCTTTTGGCAAATTCCAAGCGGGATTTCATGTGCCTTTTACTGAGGAGTGGCTTCCGTCTGGCCACTGTACCATAAAGGCCTGATTGGTGGAGTGCTGTAGAGATGATTGTCCTTCTGGAAGTTTCTCCCATCTCCACAGAGGAACTCTAGAGCTCTGTGAGTGACCATTGGGTTCTTGGTCACCTCCCTGACCAAGGCCCTTCTCCCCCGATTGCTCAGTTTGGCCGGGCGTCCAGCTCTAGGAAGAGTCTTGGTGGTTCCAAACTTCTTCCATTTAAGAATGATGAAGGCCACTTTGTTCTTGAGGACCTTCAATGCTGCAGAAATGTTTTGGTACCCTTTCCCAGATCTGTGCCTCGACACAATCCTGTCTCGGAGCTCTACGGACAATTCCTTCGACCTCATGGCTTGGTTTTTGCTCTGACATGCACTGTCAACTGTGGGACTGTATATAGACAGGTGTGTGCCTTTCCAAATCATGTCCAATCAATTGAATATACCACAGGTGGACTCCAATCAAGTTGTAGAAACCTCTCAGGGATGATCAATGGAAACAAGATGCACCTGAGCTCAATTTTGAGTCTCATAGCAAAGGGTCTGAATACTTATGTAAATCAGGTATTTGCTCAAATTTGGGGTATTGTGTGTAGATTGATGATGAAAAAACATGATTTAATCAATTTTAGAATAAGGCTGTAACGTAACAAAATGTGGAAATAGTCAAGGGGTCTGAATACTTTCCGAATGCACTGTATTCAACTTTTCAGAGGCATTCAGATTCAGTTTTCAAATTCAGTTTTCTAAATTCAGATTCAAAACCAGAGACAACATCCTGGTACTTGATAAGCAAGCAGCATGTAGTCATTTACATAAACTTCCTGAATGTATCCCTATAGAGTACCACAGTATGAGTCATAATACCCATAAAAACCTAGCAGTCAAACAGGGAAATGGTTCCAATTGTTTTTCCACCGTTCATTTTTCCCATAGGGGATTTTAGAAACACTTAAAATAAGGGCTGTGTTTCGTGTAGGCTTACCCTGGTGTGACGTTTTGATAACTGTGTAAATCTCTCTAGGACAAGGTGACATTTATCAATATATTTGCATGTATTTAATCCCCCAAAATGAAATGCTAATTAGCTGCTCATGTGGCTATAATAAAGGACTACAAATGCCATGATGAGACTGCCTAATCGAGGCAAAGTTAAAAAATCTCTGGATTAACTATCATGTAAGTAATGAATAAATTGGCAAAATATCTTTCATATCTTTCTGTGAACTGTCTTGTGCAAGTTTTAAATTGATATGATGTCTACTTTGATGCTAATTAGCTTTTTCGAATCTGAGAGTAAACAGAGCCAATTATATTGATAAAAGTCACCTTGTCCGAGAGAGATTGACATGGTTATCAAAATGTCATGCCAGGGTAAGCCTACACAAAACACAGCCCCTATTTTAAGTGTTTCTAACATTTTAAGTGTTTCTTTAAATTGATATGATGTCTACTTTGATGCTAATTAGCTTTTTCGAATCTGAGAGTAAACAGAGCCAATTATATTGATAAAAGTCACCTTGTCCGAGAGAGATTGACATGGTTATCAAAATGTCATGCCAGGGTAAGCCTACACAAAACACAGCTCCTATTTTAAGTGTTTCTAAAATCTCCTATGAGAAAAATTAATGGTGAAAAAAACGAAACCTTTCCTGTTTGAACGATTTATGAACCGTTTCATAGCTTTGCGTGCTAACATGATTCAGAGGAGAACTGGGTGAAGTGTTGTGGTCAGATGAGACCAAAATTGAGCTCTTTGCATCAACTCGCCGGTTTGGAGGAGGAGGAATGCTGCCTATAACTACAAGAACACCATCCCCACCGTCAAACATGGAGGTGAAACATTATGCTTTGGGGGTTTTTCTGCTAAGGGGACAGGACAACTTCACCGCATCAAAGGGACATGGACAGGGCCACGTACCGTCAAATCTTGGTGAGAACCTCCTTCCCTCACAGGGCATTGAAAATGGGTCGTGGATGGGTATTCCAACATGACAATGACCCAAAACCACGGCCAAGGCAACAAAGGAGTGGCTCAAGAAGAAGCACATTAAGGTCCTGGAGTGGCCTAGCCAGTCTCCAGACCTTAATCCATAGAAAATCTGTGGAGGGAGCTGAAGGTTCGAATTGCCAAACGTCAGCCTCGAAACCTTAATGACTTGGAGAAGTTCTGCAAAGAGGAGTGGGACAAAATCCCTCCTTTGATGTGTGCAAACCTGGTGACCAACTACAAGAAACGTCTGACCTCTGTGATTGCCAACAAAGGTTTTGCCACCAAGTACTAAGTAATGTTTTGCAGAGGGGTCAAATACTTATTTCCCTCATTAAAATGCAAATCAATTTATAACATTTTTGCGTTTTTCTGGATGTTTTTGTTGTTATTCTGTCTCTCACTGTTCAAATAAACCTACCATTAAAATTATAGACTGATCATGTCTTTGTCAGTGGGCAAACTTACAAAATCAGCAGGGGATCAAATACTTTTTTCCCTCACTGTACATAAGTATTCAGACCCTTTACTCAGTACTTTGTTGAATCACCTTTGGCAGCGATTACAGTCTTGAGTCTTCTTGGGTATGACGCTTCAAGCTTGGCACACCTGTATTTGAGGAGTTTCTCCTATTCTTCTCTGCAGATTCCCTCAAGCTCTGTCAGGTTGGATTGGGAGCGTCGCTGCACAGGTATTTTCAGGTCTCTCCAGGACTTGGGCAGGAGCTCACCGGAGCTGAGTACTGGCATTTCAAATGTTCTACTGCTTGAGCTCCTGTTCCTTTGATAAAATATTAGCTCAAAAGTATTGTGGAGCACCAGGATGTTGTCTCTGATTTTCAATCTGAATTTATAGAACTGAATTTGAAATCTGAATGCATCTGAGAAGTTGAATATATGAAACTTTTATCAACTTGAAATTATAGTTTGTAAACTTGGTACACAGACAGTGAATGCAATTTCTACCACATTGAAACTGAACATATAAATATTGAATTTGAATATTCAATTAAATTGAATTTTAAAACAGAATGCAATATTCATTCAATTCTGTTTTAAATAATGAAATACAAGTTCAATTTATGAATTTAATTTGTGCATTACAAATTATTTTTTTAAATTCAATTTCAATGTCTTAATACAAATAAAAAAGTATGGAATTCAAATACAATTTCTGTTGGCACTGAAATTATCCATAATAAACAAACCACACCCCCGCCGCCTCCACGTGTGCGTTTGCCAAGTTATGCCCCATGTCCACCAGATGTATATGCGTTTTGAAAATATTGAACGCCTGGTACACAGAACGCACCGCCACCTTGTGCGGAATCCCCAACATAGCGTTGGTACTGCTTCATTGACAGTGAATGACTTCCGCCGAAACACAAAGAGTTTGGAGGCATCTCGTGGACATGAAGCGTTAGTTCTACAGTAGGTCACCATAACAAATAACTTATAAAAGCCAGCTATGTCCATCCCTGACAAGTCAAAAAAGATCAACATTATCACTAGCAATCCGATTGCATTTGTATTGTTCCTCGATTTCCCTCGAAAAATCATGTCCATTGTTGTGAACGAAGTTTCGTAGTAGGCAAATCAATGGGGGTGTCAACAATTTACAATATTCCAGAGAGATTAAAAAATAGTATGAAACAAACAAGCAATGCTATGAATGTATCATTTAATATAACTATAAATGTAAAAGTTGTTCAAAACCTTAATCAATACATGTATTAATGAAACGTGATCCCATATTCTCCATGCTTTTCACCTATACATCAACGTAATGGTAAAGCCCAAAATACCCGGGTTTCCGCGCGAAAAGACGGCCCGCGCGCCTGAACTGCACATAGCCAGCCCACAACAGATGCCACACACGCATTGTTGTTCAGAGAGCTCTGGTTTTAGCACATTGTTTTAACTATTCATGGTTTTATTTTCTTGGTTTTATCTAATCGAATTTTGTATTTTAGTCTATCACGCTCACACTTCAAATGCCAGCCAATACCTCCTTGGCTCTGCCGGTGGATGTCAGGAAAAGGTAACGTTACAAGCTAGCTAGCGCAAATGTAATGTTGCAGTGCTGTCATGTTCGGCTAGCTAGCAGCGCACTGAATTCAGTTTACCCTTTGTCCTGTCAAATAAGCACACATGCATGACATTGGGTAATTATTATTCTCACCGCATCACACGATCCACCATTACATGCGTGGTGATATGTGGCTCGTGCACAATACTGCACATCTATTTTGCCACGCTGAAACCGCTCAGCTAACTGGATAACTAGTTAGCATCTTCCACACAGTTTGCCTATGCAATGTCTAGTTAGCTGTACCAACATTGCGCCGTGCGTTGAGCTGGGAATAGATTTGGCGCCAAATAATACATTATGGCTCATGTCAGCTGTTGCCTCTCACTTCAATATTGGATGCATGCATGTTTTTATTTCATAGTTAGCTAAATAATGATAACATTCGCGTTATCGCTCAGAAATTGTTAGCTAGCTAGCTATCATCTAACATTTCGCAAGTAGTCGCTAGCCGTTTTGAGTTGCTATCTACATCGTCTGTTTACAGCATAACGTTACACTAGCTATACTTGCTAGCTGGCTTATCTTATTCGATGCTTGGTACAGTAACGTTAGCTAGGTTAGGAATTCACAATCAAGTCAGGTTCACATGTCCAGTTAACGTTAATTAGCTAGAAAGCTTTAGCATTTAGCGTTAGCCACCTGCCAACCAGTTGTGCCATGCTGACATATTAGATTTGACTATGTTCTGTTTAGGTCATTGTAGCAAGTGGGTGACACTTTTGTTGTGTTACAGGCTGCAGGTGTTGGAAAAAGATGAAGATGGGATCTCAGATGAGGTGAGTGACCTGAACTACTAAGTTGGACATCTGGTTTCCTTTTGTTACGGTTGCTGAATACTTATTTACGTTTTCTACAATGTTATTTCGTCGTTGACTGATGCCCAGAAAGCCGATCATGAATATCCTTTTGTCAAGTTTTATTAGTCTTATGTACAAGATACACATGGTATATACATCGTCCAACGAAATGCTTACTTGCAGGGTCCTTCTCGACAATGCAACAATAAAAAAGAATACAAGAGAAAGTAAATGGCTCAGACTAGAATAAACGTTTTAGCATAAGGATAATACAAGAATGCACTATTTATAGTCCAATATTTACACATGTTTTGGGGAAGGGGGGGGCAAGTGTTTAAATTGTGCATTATTTAGCAGAAGTGTAGCATCTGTGGATGAGTGTATATCTGTGTGTGAGTGCATATGTGCGCAGCGAGCCGGTTAATGTTCAGCAGTCTGATGGCTTGTAGCTAGAAACTGTCTCAGCCTATTGGTATCAGACCTCATGCTCCGATAGTCTTCCTGACGGTAAGCGAGTGAACAGCTTGTGGCTAAGCACTTTCAATAACTTAGATGGGGTAGAACCTTCCAAAGCATGTCTTAAACCAGTTTATTTTCCTCATAGGACCGTGTCAACGAAAAGTTGAAGTTGGTGCAGGACTTCCTGCATGCGGATGCCCAGGACCAGCTCAGCAGCCTGAAAGCCAAGATGAAAAGTTCAGAGATCTCAATGGTGAGTTGTGGATGCATCCTGCAATCTAACTAATCCACTGCCTCCTCACTCTGGCTCATCACTCACTCCATAGAGTCTTTGGGTTTGTCCTAAATGGCATCTTATTTCCTATATAGTGCAGTTCTTTTGACCAGGGCCTGCATGTTCCCCTCAGGATGGCTACCTCTCTAAGGTGAAGGCCCTATTGGGACGTGAGCTGTGTGTGGAGAATGGCTCACATGGTGATGTGGAGCAAAACTGCAAGAATGGCAAAACAAATGGCTCTGCAGCAAATGGCGACTCTCACAAGGAAGAGGATGATGAGGGAAACCACAGACACCCAAGAGGCTGATGCCATGAAGTCTCCTTCAGCCCCCAAAGGCAAGGGAGGGACGGAAGAGCAAGTCAGACTCTGAGCCTAAGAGTGAGTAGGAGTGGCTGGGAACATCAAATGTCTCCCTGGATTAATCTATACAGTATCCCTTTTCTGTGACGTCTCATGCTCAAAGATTTGTTCAGATGTCCATCTCCTAATTGTTTGACCAAGCAACTTGTAAAACACCACACACATTTTAGAGAAGACTGTACATTTTGGGAAATGACCAAGTGTTGAGGCACTTGGATGCATGTGAAATCGATTCCCAATCCTTAAATAATGCAACATTGTTTCTTTACATTTGTCCAGAATCTCCTGGTTCCAGGGTCACAAGAAACTCTGCCTCTGGGAAACAACCCACCATCTTATCAATGTTCTCCAAAGTGTGAGTAGGAACTCTACTCCCCTGCACTAGATTAATCTATGTTGCTTCCCTTAATCTTTCAAGTTCTTATGCATTCTGCTCATAAGTAAACTTTCCCCCTTGCTCCGTTGTAGTCAGAAGCGCAAGTCTGATGAGGTGAATGGAGAGGCTACAAATGGAGAAGAGAAAGTGGAGCGGGACACAGAGGAAGAGGAGGTGAGGTGATCTTATTGTGTGGCACCTGTCACTCAGACGTCATGTGATTTACTCTTATTGATCAATGCACCACCTAATCAGTCCTTTCTGTTGTAGACACGGGAAGAGAAGCGTTTTAAAGTGGAGCCAGACAATAAGTAAGACCTTTCACCTTTTAACCCCCTCCCGTCAATTGGCCACACCCTTCCTCCAATTTGCATTGACTGTCTCCATCCTCTATTCTCCTCTCAGGTCAGTTGCAGAGGACGCCACTAGTGAGAAATGAAACCAGTGGCTGCAGCTAAGGTGAGGCCCATTCCTGCACTCAAGCTGTTATATCATTTTGGTGCCGAGTTGCCATGTCAGTATCACTGATGCTCGTCTCCTGTTTCAGACTCCACCCCCTAAATGTCCAGACTGCAGGCAGTATCTAGATGACTCGGACCTCAAGTTATTTCAGGGAGATCCTGATAATGCGGTGAGAAACTCGAGGGTGTAATACTAAAAGTGTGTAAGGTGACATTTTTAACGCGTCATTAGGGCCAACTGGATATTTGCTGAATGATTTGCACAAAATAGGATTTTATAGAGTAAAACAATATGGATCTATTCTAGTTTGGTTATTGTTTCATTGATTTGTTCTACCAGTCAATGTGAGTCTTCTTACTTATGTTGTATACTTACAGCTGGATGAGCCAGAAATGTTAACAGACGAGCGCCTCTCTCTGTTTGACTCCAATGAAGACGGCTTTGAGAACTACGAAGAACTACCCCAGCACAAGATTACCAATTTCTGGTGAGTGGTCCCTTCCTGCTGTCCCTTCAAAATTGTATATAGCATCAGCCTTTTAGTGCATGTTCTTTGCTGTCATCTTGGTGAAAGTGAAGTGTTTTTTTTGTTGCAGTGTTTATGACAAGCGTGGCCACCTGTGTCCATTTGACTCTGGTCTCATTGAGAAGAACGTTGAGCTGTACTTCAGCTGTGCAGTCAAGCCCATCTATGATGACAACCCCTGCATGGATGGTATGGCCCTGAGGCCCTGACCTTTTTCACAGGAACACTGTTTATATACTTCACATGTATTCATCCAACCATTGTAAAGCAACTGTCTTTACTAAACAATTTTGTGAGATATACTTGAGTGGTGTACCTATGCCGAACTACTGTACTGCTGTTCTTCTAGGTGGGGTTCCTGCCAAAAAGCTTGGTCCCATCAACGCCTGGTGGATCACTGGTTTTGATGGAGGGGAGAAGGCCTTAATTGGATTCACTACAGGTAATCTCATCAAGATCTTCCTTTAGGTTTAAGTGGATTGAACTTTAAAACATTAGCCTAATGCCTATACTCATGGTGTATATAATGACTCTGACCTCTAACCCATGACTTCTTCCCCATCTCCAGCCTTTGCTGACTACATCCTGATGGATCCCAGGGATGAGTACGCCCCCATCTTTGCTGTGATGCAGGAGAAGATCTACATGAGCAAGATGGTGGTGGAGTTCCTGCAGAAGAACCCTGACGTCAGCTATGAGGACCTCCTCAACAAGATCGAGGTGAAACACTAACAAGAACATTTGGTGTAGACTCTTGACCAGGGTTGTGTTCATTAGTGCAAAATGTTTCAAAGTTATGCAACAATTAAAGTTTCTTATTGGATAAGTGCAGGTAGTTCTTTTTCTGTTTGGTGCCTAATGAACATGGCCCAAATCTTCATGCACCACATGGCAACATCAGCTGACTTGACTGACCACCTCTCCTTTTTGCCCCTCAGACCACAGTGCCTCCTGCTGGGCTGAACTTCAACCGCTTCACAGAGGATACACTGCTGCGCCACGCCCAGTTTGTGGTGGAGCAGGTGGAGAGCTACGACGAGGCCGGGGACTCTGACGAGCAGCCCATCATCGTCACCCCCTGCATGAGGGACCTGATTAAGCTGGCTGGGGTCACCCTGGGAAAGAGGTAGTGATAGGACCTGGTACTGTCTGATGTTGCAACACTAGACTGGCCGTTATGAGCGCAACCCCCCCCCCCCCCCCCCCCCCCCCCCCCCCCCTGTCCTTCCCCTGTAGTGCTGTCTGCTTGTCACTAGTAAGTGTGGCTGGAAGAGAGTCAACTCTCTCAGCATGAAGTTAAAATTGCAGTGTCAGTCAATAGCTGGATTGAAGGTGCGATTCAGTCTTAATTGGCTGTGGTTATTTGATGTTCAAACCATAAAGCTAAAGGTCCAGCCACCAGAGCTGTGTATGTTCCCATGCTGATTTGTGTTGTGGGACAGTAAGGGGCAATGTTTGTCTCACTGCTGCTCGTTCCCTCTGATCCCCGGTGTTTAACACTCCTCTTGACATTCCCTAATGCAGCATGCTGTTGTACTGGTAGGTATTCTACAGCCCTTCGGTCTGACTATATCCTTGGCTTGTTTGTTGGTGTGCATTGCAACAATTTGTCATGGATCAATTTGGTGAACCTTAAAGCTCATCCCAATTTGATGTCTGGTGTTTGTTTGTCATAAAAAAATACATCTACTGCATGGCTTCTAAAAGCACGGCTGCTTTGGTTGTCAAGAGCTTGAACACCGCATTACTAACAGTATTTATTATAATAATCAAATGCATTAGCACTAAACACCCAACCACCTGCTTCTTTCCCTTAATAGGAGAGCTGCTAGAAGACAGGCCATCCGCCATCCCACCAAGATTGAGAAGGACAGCAAAGGAGGGCCCACTAGAGCGACTACCACCAAGCTGGTGTACAAGATCTTTGACACTTTCTTCTCTGACCAGATTGATCAGAATGAGAAGGATGGAGGAATCAAACGCCAGCGCTGTGGGTGTCTGTGAGGTGCGTTACTAAGTGCCAATCTGAATACAGTTGAGCCAAGGCTTGGAGGGAGCCTTTTATTTAATTGCCCTTTGAGTAAGCGCAAACATTCTGCTAAGCAAACTAGCTAAACCTTTATGCAACTAATTGGAAAAGTCTTCTGTTCATAATTGACGCATGTAGTGCTCTAGAAATGCCCTAGTCTAAAACACTCATTCATTTCTGTCTCCAGGTTTGCCTTGTTCCAGACTGTGGCAAGTGTTCAGCCTGCAAGGACATGATCAAGTTCGGGGGTAGCGGTCGCAGCAAGCAGGCTTGCCAGAAGAGGAGGTAAGTTGGCTGATCTTTAGTGCCTCTCTTCCACCTGCCATGGCTGTTTCTGAACAAACTCATTACATGTGGTCCTCTGTAGCTCAGCTGGTAGAGCACGGCGCTTGTAACGCCAAGGTAGTGGGTTCGATCCCCGGGACCACCCATACACAAAAAATGTATGCACACATGACTGTAAGTCGCTTTGGATAAAAGCGTCTGCTAAATGGCATATTATTATTTGTTCCAGAACACTGTTCCTTCCTATGATCTCATTCTGAAAAACACTAAACAGTTCTGAAACTCTGTAACTAACTCCAGACTCTCTTAAAAAACAACTGACAGTGTCAACTGGGCCTTGAGGTGGGATAGGGGGCTATGCTAGCCAGCTAATGAACATCTTCAGAGTCCTTTATTTTAAGGCTTTATTTTAAATTGAGCTCTTATGTTGTAGGTGTGGTGACTTGGGAAGCCGTTGGTTAATGTGGTCTGCTCCCTTATCAATGACAATCCCCCCCCCCTGCGCAGATGCCCCAACCTGGCAGTAAAGGAGGCTGAGGATGATGAGAACATAGAGGAGGAAGAGTTGTTGCCTGTACAAAAGGCCCCTGCAAAGAAGGTGTCCAAGGCCAAGACTAAGAAGCAGAGCAATGGCAAGCTGACCTGGGTTGGAGACTCTATCAAAGTATGTACTCCTTAGTATTGTAGGAAGTTATTAACCTCAAACTGATCAAAATATCCCTTAGTATACCAGACTGTTAATGTATGTAATTTCACTGACTTGCTGCAAAGCAAACAGCTCTTGGGATAAAGGTTCTCACCTCTCCCTCCTGTGTTCAGACTGAGGGGAAGAAGCAGTACTACATGAAGGTGTGTGTGGACAATGAGGTGCTGGAGGTGGGAGACTGTGTTTCTGTCAGCTCTGATGACCCATCAATCCCACTCTACCTGGCCAGGTAGGTTCTATAACAGTTTAAGAATCTTGATTTAGCCTTTTATTTGTATTATTATTTACCCCTTTTTCTCCCCAATTTTGTGGTATCCAATTGTCCCATCGCTGCAACTCCCGTACGGACTTGGGAGAGGCGACGGTCGAGAGCCGTGCGTCCTCCGAAACACAACCCAGCCGAGCCGCACTGCTTCTTGACGCAATGCCCACTTAACACCGTACACCTGGCGACCGTGTCAGCGTGCACTGCCCGCCACAGGAGTCGCTAGTGCGCGATGGGACAAGAATACCCCTGCCGGCCAAACCCTCCCCTAACCTGGACGACGCTGGGCCAATTGTGCGCCGCCCCATGGGTCTCCCGGTCGCGGCCGGCTGCGACAGAGCCTGGACTCGAACCAGGATCTCTAGTGGCACAGCTAGCAATGCAGTGCCTTAGACCACTGCGCCACTCGGGAGGCCCGACTTAGCCTTTTCTATTGGTTTCTGTATGGGTCAGGTGTTGACAGTCTTGTCTTGGGTCTCCAGGATCACATCCCTGTGGGAGGATAACCAGGGGAAGTGGTTCCACGCCCACTGGTTCTGCCGTGGTACAGACACTGTGCTGGGGGAGTCCTCTGATCCTCTGGAGCTGTTCCTTGTCGATGACTGTGAAGACATGCAGCTGAGCTACGTGGAGGGCAAGGTCAACGTCATGTACAAGGCCCCCTCAGACAACTGGTTCTTGGAGGTAAGAATGAATTGGCTTTATCACTCTTTAAGCTGAGTCTCTAGCCTGGTCCCAGATCTGTTTGTGCTGTCTTTCCAACTCCTACAGTGATTGTCCTGCAAATGTCTATACAGCTACTACTCAATGCACCTCGTCACTGATATATTTCGTACCACTGTGTTTTCAGGGTGGTATGGTAGAGGACATCAAGGTGATTGACGATGACAATGGGAAGAATTTCTTCTATCAGCTGTGGTATGAAGGAGACTGTGCCCGCTTTGAGACCCCGCCTACCTTCACACCCCAAGAGGACTGCAAGTACAAGTGAGTCATAATTGACATTTGACAGCCCTATCAGTACTTGAAGTACTTACATTTGGAGCTCTGAAAATCAAGTACTGGAATGCCTTAAAGCTAACATTTTCTCAGTTTGGTTCTTAAAGTCCTTTTGAAATTGTTGTAGGAAAAAACAATATAAGCTCTCCTGCTCCAATGATTTAATTTGTGATCAGTTTGTGAGATGTAGACTTTAGTTTATTTTCTACAGTTTAAATTGACTGGTGTTGCGGTAAAACCATGTACGGATATTATGAGGACATCAAATGTTGTCTTGAATTTGGCTTGCCATATAAAGCATTCCATTACAAAGGGACATTTTGGGGATTTTCTCATTTGAAAAACATGATACAATACCCTTAATCTCAAATTGCAAATTATTTGAATTCCAATGCATAGTGCCATTGGAAAGGCTTGTAAAGTGGTAATGCAGCCCCCCCCCCCCCCCCAAATACCACAACAATTAAATACAAATGTGTTCCCTGTATTTCAGCTTCTGTGCCAGCTGTAGTAGGGCTGAGGAGAAGGAAGAGCAGGAGACTCCTCGAGTGTTTGAACCCATAAAGGACGAGGACCACGACTCCAAGGCCTTCTATGCTCTGGCCTGCCTGAAGGGAGAGCAGTTCAGGGTGGGAGAAAGCTGCTACCTGCCCCCTGATGCGTTCAACTTCAGGTGAATCTGTTTGGTCACCAAGGCAACTACTGTAGTTAGTTAGCAAGTTTACTAGCTATCTACTTCAGTGGATGTTGAACACATTTCTAGTGGCAAATGTGTTCAATGATAGCCTTGGTATAAAAGGGATAATCAACTCAGGACTCTGCATTCTCTGGAAAATAATGCAACTCCGTGGAAGCTTAGCTCGGCTATGCTAACACATTGTGGAACACCTTCCACGTTCATTATTTTCCATAGAATGCAAAGCCCCTCGTTGATTCTCTTATATCAGTGGTATTCAAAGTCGTGGGTCGTGGGTGAATTGCAGTGGGGTTGCCGCATAAAAATAAAATATAATTGGAACAAATTAAGAGTACAGGTTATTGTATGGGACAATTGGGAAAGATGATCTGATAAGGGATGATAATCTAATGAATTGAAGGTCATTTGTTTATGTAAATGTATCGATTTTTAAGGTAATTTGGAGGGGTTCCCGCTGAAAGTTTCAATACCACTGCATTACATAGGCAGGGTCTCCATTGGGGACAACTAGGCAAATCGTAGTGTTGGCAAATTCGACATCCGCTTTGAACAATTTTTTTAAATATCTCCCACTACCATAACATTTATTTTCTTGTGTGCTCAGTGTGAAGGCAGCCAGTCCAGTGAAGCGTTCGCACAGGAAGGAGGACGTGGATGAGGAGTTGTACCCAGAGTACTACAGGAAGCATTCAGACTACATCAAGGGCTCCAACCTGGACGCCCCTGAGCCCTTCAGAGTGGGACGCATCAAGGAGATCTTCTGCCACAGACGCAGCAACGGGAAAGCTGACTTGTCTGAAGTCAAACTGCGCTTGTACAAGTTCTACAGGTGAGCACCCAAGTCAAATGTCATAACTGCAAAGGAGGACCCCTTGGATCCATGGCAATTTTAGTAACTTTCTACAATGAGAATTTCAGCCGACAATGCATCTTCACTGTAGGGGAAGTGATCTGGTGCCAATATGTGCATGTCTGTACTTTTGTCTTCTGTAGTTTTACTGTACGCTTAATGTTCACCCTCTGTCAGGCCTGAGAACACTCACAAGGGGGCGAAGGCCGGTTACCACACAGACATTAACCAGCTGTACTGGAGTGACGAGGAAGTGACGGTCAACATGTCGGAGGTGTTGGGCCGCTGTCGTGTGGAGTACGGAGAAGACCTGAATGAGACCGTTCAGGACTTCTCCTCAGGCGGACCTGACCGATTCTACTTCCTCGAGGTGAGGCTGGACTAGATGAGAAGCAACTTTAACTTCCCATATAAATCTTGCACGCTAAGTATCTGAGATGATGCTCGTTCGAGGAAGTTTGCTCAAGATGGTAATATCGGTTTCTTTCTCACCCAAAGGCTTATAATGCTAAGTCCAAGAGCTTTGAGGACCCACCCAACCACGCACGCTCTGCTGTGAACAAGGGCAAGGGGAAAGGAAAGGGCAAAGGTAACTACTCTCTCCTCTGTGGTCCTTATTGCCAGTCACACAGTTCTCTCATTTTAAAAGAGGCTTCTCCGACTAGTTGTAACTGTGGATCCAAACCCCCTGCCCTCCAGGTAAAGGCAAAGGGAAGTCCTCTGCTGCTCAGGCTCCAGACCAGGAGCCTCAGGACCCCAAGGTGCCCAAGCTGCGTACCCTGGATGTGTTCTCTGGCTGCGGCGGGCTCTCTGAAGGCTTCCACCAAGCTGGTTAGTAGTTCTTTCTTCACTTCAACAGCTCAGGAAATGTCTAGTTAGTTGTGGGTGACCACAAGGGAACGTTTCTAATATACAGGTAGATTTTCTTACAAGAATAAAGTTAAGAGTTCGTCAGGTAACAAACATAGTGATTGCAATTTGTGTTGATGCTCCTACCTGTCAGGTATCGCTGAGACTCTGTGGGCCATCGAGATGTGGGACCCAGCAGCCCAGGCCTTCAGGCTGAACAACCCAGGCACCACAGTGTTTACAGAAGACTGCAACGTGCTGCTCAAGCTGGTGATGTCTGGAGAGAAGACCAACTCCCTGGGCCAGCGGCTGCCCCAGAAAGGAGACGTGGAGATGCTGTGTGGAGGCCCTCCTTGTCAAGGCTTCAGCGGCATGAACCGCTTCAACTCCAGAACCTACTCCAAATTCAAAAACTCTCTGGTGGTCTCTTATCTCAGGTCAGTAAAACAGATTTGCACATTTCCATACAAACATATGTATGCAATGACTGGCATTCTTCTGTGTGAGTATTATTGATGTGTCCAAGTACAGAAGCTCCAGTCTAAGTGATTGGTGTGTAATGATTTACTTAGCCCCTACTAACGTATATTGTCCTCCCTCTTTTAGTTACTGCGACTACTACAGACCCAAGTTCTTCCTGCTTGAGAACGTGAGGAACTTTGTCTCCTTCAAAAGCTCCATGGTCCTGAAACTGACTCTTCGCTGTCTTGTCCGCATGGGCTATCAGTGCACCTTCGGAGTCCTTCAGGTGAGTTATTAGTAAACTTAAGCTGGCATGTTTCTTTCAGATTGACGAATCCAATAGTCTGCAGTATTACGCAATGTTTTTAGATATGGTACTATAGGCTGTATGTTATTGTGGAAGTCATTGATGGCATATGCCTGACCTCTGCTGTCCCCTCTCCTCCCAGGCTGGGCAGTACGGCGTGGCTCAAACGCGGCGCAGGGCCATCATCCTGGCGGCCGCCCCTGGGGAGAAGCTGCCTCGCTACCCAGAGCCCCTGCATGTGTTCGCTCCCCGCGCATGCTCTCTCAACGTGGTGGTGGACGACAAGAAATATTTCAGCAACGTCACACGGTAACCAGCCACCAGTCTATGTAAAAGCATGTGTGGTTGTATAGCTTGTGAAGGGTAAGGGTTGAAGTAGTTGTGTGGTTTGTCGAGGTTCTGACTGTTCCTTCCCGTTTCAGAGGTAATGGCGGTGTGTACAGGACCATCACAGTCAGGGACGCCATGTCTGACCTGCCAGAGATCCGCAACGGAGCGTCTGCTCTGGAGATCTCCTACAACGGAGAGCCCCAGTCCTGGTTCCAGAGGCAGATTAGAGGCACACAGTACCAGCCCATTCTCAAAGACCACATCTGCAAGGTACAGCTGCTGCCTCTTACAGTTAGTCATCTGGTGGCTTAGCAGTAACTTGTTAGAACATCCATAGGTGTGGCTCTGTCTTTGGAGTCTCTTGGATACTTTATTCAGCTATTAGACCTCTGTGCTCAGCATCGCAGCTTAGTGAAGAGATGGTTGGTTTTTACAGAAGCAGAGAGCACCACACTTGGGCAACAGATTTGTTTTGCCTCGAATGCTTGTGACATTGGTTAAATTAATGGCACATGGTGACTGTCTAAATGGGCATATCAAAATGGGAATATCTCTGAATTTAAAACTAGGAGTAAAAATGGTTGCTTCTCAATGGAATTATGCAATGAGAACTGTCATGAGGGTGGTGTGGACAATAGTTTGTTTCAGGGAAAGCTAAATCCCTCTTTGGTTCCCAGGACTTGAGTGCCCTTGTAGCGGCCCGTATGAGGCACATCCCCCTGGCGCCTGGCTCTGACTGGAGGGACCTGCCCAACATCGAGGTCCGGCTGAGAGACGGGACCACATCCAAGAAGCTCCGCTACACCCACCCAGACAAGAAGAATGGCCGCAGCAGCTCTGGAGCACTGAGGGGCGTTTGTACTTGCTCAGGAGGTACTCACCTTTATGGATATTTAGGCCATACAAATGTAAATGGATTTCATTTTTTGAAGTGCGCTAATCCTTTATTTTTGTAGACCCTCTTGTTTAAATACGATAGCAATCTTCAACACCTAGCAACCTAATCAGTTTAGCCTCTTGGCTTAAACAGTGGGTGCTTGGAGTGTTCATAACTCTGACAGATGGCAAAATAAATAGTCTTAAAGTGCTATAAAAATGAACAGATTTTTCCAGGTCAGATGGCCAATGTAATTTGGATGGCAAATCCAAGGTGGTCTGTAGACCTGTTCTGAATTACATCCTGTCCTCTAGGGGTGCCCTGTGACCCTGCCGACAGGCAGTTCAACACTCTGATCCCCTGGTGTTTGCCCCACACGGGGAACCGCCACAACCACTGGGCCGGCCTCTACGGCAGACTGGAGTGGGATGGCTTCTTCAGCACCACAGTTACCAACCCTGAGCCCATGGGCAAGCAGGTAAGACCTAATACTGTACCAGCTCTATCAGAATTGTTGTTGAATGGCTAGGACCATTTCACCTCAGGACACAGCCATGTAATAACATAGTTGTTGTAGTTTGCTGTACAGATGACTAGTCTACAGAAATGTATTGTGGCCCCTCCTGTGATGTTGGATGCTTTGGGTACTAAATGTCCTCTTGTCATGTTTCAGGGTCGTGTCCTGCATCCAGAGCAGCACAGAGTGGTCAGTGTGAGGGAGTGTGCGCGCTCTCAGGGCTTCCCTGATACCTACCGCTTCTTTGGGAACGTTTTGGACAAACACAGACAGGTACTGGACTTGGTTTCTGTTCTCTATCAGGAATTCAACCTCAATCCCCTCCCAGAAAATGCCTTGGGGTGACATACTTTTTTTCTTATTCCCCTCTCAGGTTGGCAACGCTGTTCCTCCACCACTCTCCAGAGCCATTGGACTAGAGATCAGGAAGTGTGTCCTAGAGCGGATCAAGGAGGAGAATGACAATCCAAAAGAGAATGAGAAAGGTTAGGCCTGTTGAAGGGGCATTCTGCAGTATTTAATGCTGCTCATTGGGCATTTCAATGAATTACTGATTGTGGCTTTAATGTGGATAGGAAGCGTGTCATCAGCATCCATACTGTGAATGTAATTTTCTTCCCTCAGAAAACGGGAAGCAGGAAGAGAATCTCAAGCAGGAGAAGATGGAGTTGTCAGACTAGTGCCCTGCCTTATTCCAATCCCCTTTCCACTGAGAATCATCAAATTCCCTGGAGCTCCTGAAGCCCATCAAGCCTCAGGAGCTCCTGTTTTTTAATAATGTTCACTGACCACGTGGCCTCTCTGGACAGTCTGTGCAGTACCATTCCATGTTTATGATTTTCTAAATGTGATTTTAACTATTTGCAAATATCCGCTTGGAAAGTGGAAAACTGTAGTTTTTATATGTCGTAATATTTCAAATAAAGCTCTTAAATGGCAGTTCCTTCTCCTTGTAACATTTCTTACCAGAATCATCTTGGCCTCTAGTTTATTACATCAATTTGTGTGATTTTTAAAACTGCAGCAAAAACATCAGTGCATACCCAGAATGGCATGTAATATAATACTGTCACGACACTTGATTGAATTTGTCATAGATATTCGTACCACGAGTGAATACCAGTACATGATAGGACGTAAGCAGTTTGCATTCTCTAAGTTAACTACAGTGTCTGCAATGAGGATGTGAGCCCAAGAGATGTGAACGATAAGCATTGACTATCACAATTATCAAATTAACATTCTATTCACAATGGGTAGAAACATCTAAAGTGAGGTTCCCATGTAGAAGGGTCAAACATGTTTTACATTGCGCCCCATTTACCACCCATGCCAGGCTTAAGTATCTTAATTTGCCTACTGGATCTCCTGTTGCTCACTGCCTTCTCTACATCCCCTGCCTCATCTGTCAAGTGTGGAAACTCGTACTATTGGGAGAAACTACTTGTGCATTCATGTGCTTTGACCTCGAACACTAATGGCTAACAAGCTGCTTAAGTACAGCTCATGTTCAAAAACCAGTTTAAATGTCCTGCATTTAACTGCCAAATGCTGTTGGAGGTAGTTCCCTTAGGTGATGTTGAAGATGTCTGAGCTCAAGGATAGACTAATTTCCCACTAGTAGTTGGGAGGGGTGTTGAAGTGGATATGCTCATATTTACAATGTTACCTATGTAGCCTGATCTGCCATAACCCTCAGCTCATCTGTTCTGCTTTCACCCCCCCCCCCATTGAATTCAGTCATTCCAAGTTAGTATTCAATGAAAAGGTTTATATTCTGTAGAAGCTTACAGCGTCTGAATGACAACATACCAGGATTTACCTACAAACAAGTGACACAGTCTGATACAGGGAATGACAAGTGTTTCATCACTGCTTTATTTAGACAGCCACATTCTACATGAAGAATAACCTCCTGAAATATCTTCATCTCAGTTGTTTGATGGTCTGGGGGGGGAAAGATGGTTGAATTAAATGGATCCAATAGAATATCTGATGCAATTTAGTGGTGAAGCATCTAGTCTAGATTCTAAACAGTAGCCACTGGTTAGGCTTTCAATGCATATGGAATATATTATAGTTCCTGATGGGTGCTCCATCTACTACACCCACCACTCTACAAACATGAACTCATCACAAGTCCCCAAAAATACTCACTTGGCCCATTCCACATTGAGGATAAGATGATCGTATCCAAATCCTGACACTCCTGCGATGGCTCTGGCTGCGTCCTCCCTGCGGTGGAAACTGATAAAGGCAAAGCCCTGAAGGACCGAGTCAAACAAAGAGGCCGTTAGAATGCAAACAAACCAAACACACGACAACCAGTTTAACTTCTGAAAGGAAGACCGGTAAAATGCTCCCGCAATTTTCAATAACTTTTTTTTTTTAACCCTGCACGAGCAAGTTAATGGATATGCATACACTACTTCTAAACTAGTAACCATTTCAACTTCTACTACTGCTGCTCTCACCTTGGACTGGCCTGTGTTTTTGTCCTTGGCCAGGTAGATCCTGGAGATGGAGCCGAACGGCCTGAAGAGCTCCTGCAGATCCGTCTCGCGGGTGTCCTCAGACAGGTTGGTCACACGGATGGTGGCGTTGTCATCAGCTGTGGAGGGATAAACACACTGTTTGTTACAGTTTAGGTCTGGGTTTGTGTTATCCCACCCCCAGCCATTTAGACATCTTACCAAAATGCCTGGCTTTGTTGGAATTTCCCAATGAAATCAAGATTGGACTGCTCCATGCTGAACCGGGACCATGAGTGTTGTCCAGACATCAAGATACTTCTCAAACGAGACTACGGTGTTGAGGTTCTGGTAACTCTAGACTAGTATGCTCCTTATTCTAGGAAACAGAGTGGAAGAGTCAAATCATACGTACATGCACCACGGCGATTGGGTTGCATGGACTCTCCTCTACGTGTGCTGCCGTCCCTCAGGCTGGGGGGCACATACTTCCCAGTCTTGCTCCCTGCAGCTGGTGCGGCAGGCTCAGGCTCGTCTGAAACAAAGTTCAAAAAATATCCATTAGTGATGTCCATTTAACAAAATCATGAACCACAAATATGACTGTGTAAATGTACAGCACAATATAACTTTAAGCTATGGGCAAATATGACAATACCTCCTGCAGTCTTCGTCGGGTCTCCAGTGGACAGGCCCAGCTGCTCGGCCAGCTCCTTCTGCATGGGGCCCAGAGTGTCCTTGTAGGGGCAGCGGGTGGTCCAATGGTCTCCTTTACAGATTCGACAGGACACTATCTTCTGTCCCTTCAGCTTGTTCATGGGGTCCTCTTCCACATCTTGGGCATTCAGGTCCTGAGAGAAGGATTTCAGATTATTACATGGCATCAACACAGATTCATACCAGAACTAAAGGTGACAATGAACTAGGATCATACAACTACATCATACAAAAACAAATTAACTGGTGGATTGTTGTGACTGAAGATATGAAGAGGCAGTTACTTCCCAGACGATCTCTGATGGCTCAAAGAACAATTCTAGATCAGCATCTCAGTGGCTCCTCACCTCTTTGCTAGAGATGAACACCATAAAGACATCATCACTGACTGTGGTGTCAGCAACATTGGGACCTGGTGGGTCATACTCTGAGTTGCCAAACTTCTTCCAGTTCTGATTGGCGGGGATAGAAAAGCAATGATAAGTTAAATCAAAATACCTTCACATTTTAACCCTTTACACTCGTGGGAATTGGCCTATATGGATAGGGCTAAATTTAAATGTGAATAAGCATATGAATAACCATGGTAGCAATTCAAAAAGGGAACAGTTTGGAGATTATGGGTAAATTATTAGACTAAAGGTGAGGACCACAACCGTTCACCTGACACGACTGAATCCAAACATTACACTGTTGATGTTTATGTGCATTTTAAATTTACTGTACTTTTTGCCGCATTTGTTGATAATGAAATCTGAAAATACTATGGATACATTTTGGGTAGGTGCAACAAAGAACAAATCAATTACTGGGGTTTGAGTGAGAGGTCTAACTGGTGTTTCCAAGTGGCCACACACCTCTCCAAAGTGTGAACAGTTCCTAAGCAATTTCAATGCACTTTTATGACTCAAAGAACATTCTTCAACTATAAGGTGCTTTTTTGAGCTCTCCTAGCTGTGCTGTTGAGGAACTAGAGGAAGCACACTTGCAGTTATTTTGTTTGGAACACAGCCCTGCATCCCCGCCTTTACCCAATTACTGTTGTTTATGCAATACAAAAACAGTCCGTTATAAATCAAAATATGGGTCAGGTGGGCATAATTTGAAAGCTTGTTCTATTGCCAACATGACTAGCTAAATTATTAAATATGATCTTAATGTTAGGCTTTCACAAGGCAATTCAGAGAAGCAGATAGTAATTTTGGTGTCATGAGTGCATTCAGATGCGTGTTCAGCACAACATTTTCTTCACAATACATCAACCGTAGGCTCATTCTGTTCAGGATGGGGGGGTTTAACACCATGTCATCTTGTAACTGTACATCAAACAAAGGAATCATAAACATTGACAGTGTATATTACACGAGTCTTAGGATATGGAAATGTGAAGTACCCATTTGGACTCAGGTGTGTTTGGCTTGCTTGTATGACATCAGTGATATTTACTATTATCCTTAACGTCTCATCTTTCAAAACACATTGAGTCCTCGTAATTTATAGCATTTCCCTCACTCAGACAAAACATTTCTAAAGTTACCCAATTAGCGGGACAGATGGGAGCAACTTCTTGTCACATGCAGTGCTCAACTTCAGAACAGCTGTCAGTCAAAACCCCATACAAAGCTGTGAAGAGGAGACCCTGAGCTCTGACGTCGTGCATAGCATGTTACTGTACAGCCACTGCCTTCCAATTTAGGTGCTTATCAGTGTCCAAATCTGCCCTTTTTCCACCCATATACAGGTAGGAGTGTAAAGGGTTAATGT